AATCCAGATTTTTAATATGAATAGGAAGTACAAATTTCTGACCAAAAATGCAGATCACGAGGACTTGTGTACCAAATTTCTCCCAATTTCGGTAGATTGGTGACACCGCGTCGTGATCTGGTATTAGTAAACGTACATGTTATAATTTGAGGGGATTTGGGTGGTGTTACGTTCATAACTACAATGTAAACAAACATAGAGATGCAAAAGGCAATCAATATGTAACGTCTGGTCTTTCCAGATGCGTTTTCAATGTTTTCATCTCGTGATGTTTTACCATTATAACTATGCTTTTGAATTTGTTTCCTAATCTTGTATAACCAGCTTAATCGTACATGAGTCCGCACAAGTTCAAAAACAAAGGTTTTGAACGAGTCCAATACCTAAACTCCTCACCCACACATTTTTACCCACACATTTTTTCTCACGAGTAAATGGTTGAGATTTAACTCAATTATTCTTTTTTGCCCTTTGATGGGCGTTAAGGGGAGGGGACGTTCAAACACTTGGCATCAGATACAAGGATAAACGCTTTTAATCATTTAAGCGACGAACTCAAATTTAACATTCTACGTCAACACATTAAAAACGAATCTAAATTAGTTCCTGCCATATACATTAATACAAAGACGAATGGAAAACTAGATTAAGCTAACAAGTTTCTGCAAGGTGAACGAAACTAGCTATTGACAAAACTGTTCAAAAGTCAGCTTTCACTCCTAAGCGACCAATTCATCTGCTCCTTCTCACAGTGCTCCAGGAAAGCATCAAACTCGTTCATAAGATCTTGATCCGCTCGAAGTACATCGTCGACCAGATTCAGAAACTCGGTCAGATCTATAACTCCGCTGCTATACAAGTGCAGTTGCTTTAGGAACGCAATGAACTTGTCCGAACTACCAAGTTTTTCCCGAACTTTTCTGCAGAGGAAAAACCCTCTGTTGTATATGCTCTTCTGTAACTTCTCTTGAGCATCCTTGAAATGCTGCACTCCTTGTAACTGTTTGAGTACGTACACCAAGGCTTTTTCTCTTGGATTGTTTTCCATCTCGATTTTCTTTCGCGTTTCCTGGAAAAATTTCCGAGAAAAGAACTCAATCGGTTGTGATAAAGCTTTTCTTTCTAGTCAAGCAATCAACGAGAGAAACTCATTGTCTTGCTTCCTCACTAATGCCTTGTTTCATCAATAGACTAATGCCAATTGCCAACTGCGATGCGAAGTAGTAATGACTTTTAGGGTAAGGAAAAAAAATAACAAAAACATATAGTTAACTCCAGCTGTGTAAGTTTATCTAACGTTGCTGGTCCCAAGTTTGGATAAAAGAGAAGGGGGAGGGTGTCCAGGCAGTCGACAGCCAGCACTCCATTTTTCATGTTGAATCCCTATGATAGTTAAGTAACACATTTGTTTTCCTTTTTTTAAGGTTGACATTCCAAAATGGTCATCTTGCACTCCTTCAGTGCAAATTCATCCTTGTAAAAGTAAGAAGGGAGAAGTGCAAGATGACTTTTTTGGAGTGTCAATAACAGCTCACATTTCAAAATGGGGTTATTTTCACCTAACTTATGATATCAAATTGTAAATATGAACGGCATATTCTAGTAAAAATCAGCATGATCGATAATTCAGAATCACAGTCTAAGAATATTAACATTTCATTCCGTTGTTTTACCGCCCGCCCTCACCACTTGAGCTAACCTCAAGGGATTAACATCAGCATCTTAGAGCATCTCCAAGTGAGTATGCATAAGAGGCGGCCAAAATTTTACTATAGCAACTATGTGACATGTTGCCTACCATTTCAACTCATGAAAAAAGTTGGTCACTTCAAGGAACTAGACAAATCAAATAGACATTACTATATTATTTGGGGCCCAATACACCCATGGTTTTGAAGTACGCAATATTGCCTACTTGGATAGAGAGGAGGAAATTGGCTTAAGTGGCTAGGCAAACCTTGCTTGCTTAGAGATAAGCTTTCTTGTAACTAAAGATATCGTAGGAGAAATATTTATGGGACGGGTGGTTCATTTTTTAAACACATGACAAAAATTTATTGAATAAGTAATGCCGCTAAAATTATGTCTTTGGTTGTAAGAGAGTATCTCTCCGCTTCGAGATGTATATTGCGACACAATCTAAGTCAGAAAGCTTTGTCCCTCTATTTACACAAATACGTGGGGCATGATGTCCCTATATTGTAAAAAGGCTTAAAATTGAAGAAACCTCCACCACCGTCCGATGAGATTTTGAAGCCCAAGACCCCACTGCGGTGATTGAAGGCCCCACTCACCCTCCCACTCATCCTAAACCCTTGAAACTGAAAAGACCCGCATCCCAACAGCCCCTAGTATTTTTCAAATTAAAAATTTAGCAGCAGCACCCAAAACCCCATTAAAAATATTTAAAAAAATAAAATCAAATACCCTAAAACAGGCAAATTTGTGAAAAACATCAGCAGGCCGCAAATATCAAGAAAATCAAATAATCTCATTCCGTATAAATAAATAAATTATATAAAATTGAGAGGTGGAGAAAGATCACCTGCTAAGAGAGAGAAAGTTTGAGAGAGAGAAAGAGCTCTGTAGAGAGAGAGAGACAGCCGAGAGAGAAGGGTTTTGCCAGTTCAGTTCTGATCAACTATTTAAGAGACTTGGAGAGAGGGAGAAGAGACGAACGGGGGGCAGGGCAGGGCAGTGGGCAGTGGGGAAGTGGGAGCGTGGGAACTAAGTGGGTACTTTTATAGCCGTTAACTCCTTACTTTGGGAGTTGTGGGCTTTGGATTTTTCACTTTCTTTGTGTTTTTGGCCCAAATTTATAGCATTGGGCAAATGCTATGGATGAGAGGAGACTCTTTTTATAGGAAAACAAGATAGGGATATCATTGCGAATTTGTGAGGCGTGTTAGAGAATAGATTCTCACATCAAACGAATAACAAAACTAAGAACTCGAAAAGAAAGTATTTATAGGAAAACAAGATACGAGGCTAACGAAGAATAGGAATTAAGATGATGGAAATAGGAAAGTACTGACTATTGCATCTTCATTCTTAATATGAGAATCTTTAGAACAGTTCTTAAAAGTACCGTTTGATATGTAGGATGAGATGGAACGTAATGGGATGAGACGCATACGTCTCACGTTTGGTGTGCTAATGTGCTTGGAACGCACTGTTCTGTGGAATGAATTTTGGTCAATTTTTTGTGTCACTCTCCTCCCTGGAATGACTTGTTTCAACCCATGAAAAACAAAATTATAACTTTTTAGACAACAATACCCCCTCTTTTTCATCAATTTCATTTCGAAAATCAATCAAAATTTTAGAGAACTCTTCATTTATACACAATTAGCATAAAATATTCACTAAAAATCGAAATTTACCTCAACAAATTAACTCAAAAACTAAGTTCTCTTGTTTTTTCGGGAAACCAAGTTTCTTTGATTGCACTTCAAATTTTTCAGGAAACTGAGTGACAAAAACCCAACAAAAAATAATTTTCTTTGCGTTTGATTTCTATATTCAAAGAAGACAAACAAAAAAAAAACCCAGATCGGGATAAAGGGTTCTGAGAAGGCCAAAGAGAGGAAATTTTATGGGGAAACAAACAGGAAGAACATAAGGGTACCGGGTAAAGCCAGTGAAAAGACGTGGCCGATGCCATCGCTCGAGGGATGGGACGGCAAGGATTAGGCGGAATATGTGAGGGTTGACGTTGAACTCGTCGGCGATGGCTCAGGTAAGGTCGAACTCGTCGGAGTGGAAGGGTACGATTGTCATTTAATCTTTTGTTCCATTCCGGCCTGAGCGTACACCAAACGTAGCATGGAACCTTCGTTCCGTTCCGTCTTGTCTGCGTACCAAACGGTACCAAAGAGAACACTTCTGGTGGTGGTGGGCATGGCGGCTCATCGGAAGTTTTCTTCTTGTGTTGCATCTCCTTCTTTTTTGGTTCCTCAACAAAGGAAAAAAGGAAAGATGGGGGCGCAACATTGCATGCTTGAAATTTCGACAATGATCCTACATCACTCTCCTTTGGTTTTTGAAGAAAGAGTTGCAGTGCTCAAGCCTTCTTATTTTGGTATCTCCACAACTTACCTGTCCGCTTGTGTTCTCCCAGTACTTCAAATTGTATCCTTTTGTTTACGTCAAGGATGTTTAAGAACATGGGAATGAAGGATCGAAGAATGATGAAGTGAAAAATTAAATGTAATCGTATTAAACGACAAATAAATTTAAGTGAAGAAGGAAAACTACCTACATCTTCGACATACTCCTCGTGTTTTCTTTGCTGTGTAGATGCAATGGATCAAAGAACTGGAGACTGCGAATCAACTTCTGTCGATCATGGAGGGTCAGACTGAAATCGACTGTGAGTGGAATTTCGAGCGTACGGGTGAAATCTATATATCTATTACCTATCATGGAGGATCAGGCTCAAATTGACTGAGAGTGGAATTTCGTGTGCACGCGTCAAATCTGAATATCTATTACCCTCTCAAGGGATCCACGCGTATTAATTTCAGGAACAGATTAGTTAGATAACCTCCTATGGAAATTTTCATATGTGTAGGTTGGAAAAGTTTGGAGGAGTTGTCCCAAGGAAATACAGGAACAGATCCGCATTATTCACTACAAGAGGGTGTTTTAAGTCTGCTTGAGAATCACGGGACATGTTAATTAGATAACCGCTAGACCCCAAAAGTTTTAAGCTGTCAAAGAACGAGCAACATCAATATATCAAGCTAAAAGGTGCAATAAGGGTATAAAAAAATCGTGCCAAGTTGGATATCTTAGTGCTAATCTATTGAGCTTTGACTTAGCTTGACTTGTTTATTTTACGAGCAGAGCTCAAACGAGATGTGAATCTTGAAAATTTATGTAAGCCACAAAGTGATTAAGTAAATCTATTTTCAATTAAATGGCCCTAAAACTCTGGCCTCTAGGTATTGCTCCTCTAAGGAAAGATCAACATCACCAACACAATCGCACAAACAACATAAACCAAACACATCTTCACATACGGGCCGAATAAGTTGACTGCTAACAACCACAGATGTTTTCTGATGAAATACAACTCTAATTTAGATCAGCATGACAAGCTTAATATAAAGTTCAAATATAATCTGCATCGAATCTTTAGTTTACCTACGTAGATTTGCATAGCATATTTCAACACAAAGTTTTCAATGGCTATTGGTCACAGCGTAAAGCATTACGTATTTCAACCATGACCTCCTTCCTCTAGTATACAGTGGCTTCAATAACTTTTGAATGTCAGTGAACCTCCATCAGTGAGAAGAAAGACATCGATTTCATCACCATCTTCCATATGATGCTGCACAAAGTCAAGTAACTCCATCACTCAGAAGGGACACACACACACACACATGTATATTATATAGATAAATATCAACTCACTTTAAATTCCAGGGGAAGCATGATTTAAAGATATTAATTCCTGCTTAATTCGCTTTAGTGCTATCATAATTATACTCTTTTTAATCTCCACACTTTTAAACTCACAGGCCCAAGTTCTAATCCTTTCTTTGGTTCTCCCCCATTGATTTTTTATTTTTTAAAGACTAGCTTAAGTGAACTTTTACCTCCGCAGCAGTCTTCTTGCCATTAATGTGATCGCCATCGAAGATGAACACTAAGGAATTGCGATCCAGGGAACGTTTTGTGCACAATGCATCAATGACTTTGTTTAGCTTTGTAGTTGGTTTAATCCTGAAAAACACTTCACTTCCATCCTGCAAGGGAATCTCATTGTATCACAAAGCAAGAATAGTCAAAAACGTAGGCGTACAATAATAGTTGAACTGATTACAATCCACAATATTTATATGCACTCCTCCCTAGTGTAAATATAAAGAAGAGAATGCTAAGCAGACTTTCAAAATGAAACTCTTTATAAACTCTTCGTAACCTTATGTTTTTGGCACAATTTCCGTGCCAACAATATAAAATATTGTGCTAAAAACATAAAGTGACTGAAAGTCCATGTAGAATCTCACTTTGAGAGAGTCTCGTTAACATTTCTCTATATAAAAAATGAAAGGAATGCGAAACAACTTTTTTGAAGTGCTAATAGAAATTCATTTCAAAGATAATCAAAAGAAGAAATTAGGTTTACATCCTTATTTTTGTTACTCCATTAATTAAAATCCTATTCATTTTTAATTTTTTATCAAGATCCTTGGTATTAATAACATTATTAATTATTTGAATAATAAAATATTTTTATTTTTAAATATATTCCTTTAGTGTTAAAAATGTTACCATTAGTATATTAATATTTATGGCTAAATTTTTTATCATATATTTTTATATTTAGTTTGTACCTATTTTTAATTTGCAAATATTTTTTAATTGTACCAATTTTCTTTTTATTTTTAATTTGTACCCATATATTAGTTTTTTTTGTGCCCATATTTTTTAAAGTTTTATTTGTGTTTGTACTCATGTGTACACCGTCACGTGACATTGTATATTTAATCAACGATAGAAAAATTACATATGGTATACTTATGTTTTATGCCTACACTTTGTATCATATATTTATATTTTTAGTTTGTACCCACTTTTAATTTGCAACACTTTTTTAAAATTTGTAGTATTTTCTTTTTAGTTTTATTTTGTACCCATGTATTAATTTCTTTTAGAATGTTAAGGATTATGGATCGCTTCCAAAATATCCCTAATCAAAACTCAATCATCCAAGCTAAAAAAAGCAATTTCCTTGACAAATAAATTAGGTAAGGCAAAAGTAGAGTACACAAATAAGAACCATGCTTCCGTACTCAGATCCCGCTAGGGCTTGGAGTTACAGAGTTGAAGGGTGTTTGAATCCATATATATCCAATCCAAACTTCCGTTAACTATTGAACTTTTTCGTTTACAAATGATTGCAAACGATTCCTATCATACGAACTAATTTACAAAAAAGCTAACGTTTTCAGTAAGTTAATGCACCTGAGAGAAAGGGAGAGAGATCAAACCTTGTTAATCTTAACCTTCAGATTAATGGTGGGTTTTTGCTCTTTGGCTTCATCAGGAGTAATAATCCCAGAGGGGTCAGACATCTTCAGAGCTAGCTAGGGTTTCTTTTTCTCCCGCTCTTTCTTTCTTCAGTTCTGTCGTTTGGACTTGATGGACGACGCAGATAAGGAAAAGAAAGGACACTAACTTTATTAAGTCGCCAGAAAACCCTCGAGACTTTTGGTTTTTCAAAAAAAAAAAAAAAAAAAAAATCCCGCTTCTTTTGCTCTAGTACTTGCTAGTCTACTACAAACACGTCAATGACATCATGCCTCAACTCTCAATGTGGACTATGTAGCAGTTCTAGACTCTAGTTTAACTTTTTGGTGAGGTTAAAATCTGGTATGGACAAGGCCACAGAAAAACCTGGTGGTGAGGTCATCTCCAACCGGAGATTAGTCAGATGACTCGTTTTAGCCCTTTGGTTCTTCAAAATATTAATATTTTAATGAACAATACAGGGCCATATTTACATTCGTCTCCAACCGAGGGTCAAAGGGTCAGATGGCTCGTTTTAGCCCTGTCACAAAAAACCGTCTCCAACCGAAAGACATAGGGCCAAACATAATTTATTATTTATATTTAAAAACTACAACAACTTAAATTTAAAAACAACAACTTAAATTTAAAAACTACAACTTATATTTAAAAACTACAACTACAATTTAAAAACGACAAATTAAATTTAAAAACTACAATAACTTAACTTTAATATCTATAATCAACATCATCCACCATTGTAGGAGTATAGTCAGAGGTAAACAACTGTCGTCGGCTCATAATTTTTTTTTTTTTCTTCTTCTATCAAAATAGGCCTTACTCATTGGAGTGTAATTCGAAGTGTTCATTTTCATATTCTTATCATCCATCTCTTCTTGTATTTGTTTGGCCCGTTCTTCATACCTACACTTCCTTTCTTTCGCCTCAAGGTCATTTTGCTCTGCCAATAATCGCAATGAGGCTGCCACTTCATGCCCTTTTCCTTCAACCTTAACGCCTTGTTTCGTCCCATAGCCCTAGGTATGGAACCTTCACCCGAAGACAGATTTTCTACCCTTGTTTGTTGAATGGTTGGAGATTCATCTTCATTCATATCTGCAGCTGAGGATGTAGTTCCGAACACCTTCGTAGGAGCTCTTTGTGGTGGATCTTCAAATAACACCCACCCTTTACAAATTTCCCAATAACTGTGAAACTGAAAGGGTTTTGAGATGTTCTCCATATACAATTCCTCCGCTCGGCGTACCTATAAAAAAATTAAAGGAATTTAATTTATGAAATTAAATGTAATATAATTAAATATTTAAAATAAATTGTGAAAACACTTATTTCGTCGTAGTAATTAGTATCGCTTTCATGTCTACTTGCGGCCGCTAACAATGCTTGATTCCATTTGTTCAAACTTGGCTGAAGATGTTTCTTCCATCTTGAAGAACGACTCTCGTGGTTTTGAATATTCACTAGAGTGGTGCCTTCATAGAACTCTAAATATTTTTTGGACACACGAGTCCAAACACCGTCATTTGTTTGACAATTTCCCCTCAAATTATCTTCTGACACCCATCTATAAGCCTTGCAAAGAGCTTCATCTTCTTTTCGGGTCCAAGCCCTACATTTCATTGCAGACGAGGCCATTTAAAAATTATTGAAAAAAATTGAAGGATAGATTTTTGAAAGAGGAATGAAAGTATGAGAATTGAAATGGTGTAGGAATAGTAAAAATTTTGTAACGAATGGTGAATGAATGGTTTAGGTATTTATAAGAAAAAAATATAGAATTTTTGAGAATTTAAAAATAAAATAAAATTAAAAAAGGCCCAAAAACCTATAAAAAAATAAAATTTTGAATCCAACGGTAACTGGCGCCAGCTAGCCGTTGGATTCAATTTTTTTTTTAAGAATTAACTGACATGAATACATTTATTGTATTTAATATAAATGTATTATTGTCAATTATAACCGACAAGATTAAGCGGTTTTCTAGCCACCCCGGGCTGGCTGCCTGCCTGCTTGCAGGCATCCCTCCCGCCCTCTCCGATTCCATGGGGCCCTCTCAGATTCCATAGCCCTTTGGCCTAGCTCTCGGTTGGAGACGGTTTTCAGGCTATTTTCGGCCATTTGATCCTCTGAACCCTTCAGTTGGAGATGGCCTGAAAGAATCGTGGTCCTAAAACCATCTTCAACCTTTGGTCTAAAAGCTAAAATTTTAAACCCAGAAAATTTATGTTTTAGCCCAGAAACAGATTTTCTACTCCAACCCTTATAGCCTAAAATTTTAGCCCTATATTATTAAAGAATGAATTTGGGCTAATTTTTTTCTTAAATTAACTTTTTTAAATAAAAAAATATGTAAACTATCGTAAATTAATTTTATAAACATTTTAATCTAAAAATATTTAAATTTTGATAAATATTGAAAAATCACTAAATCGATACATAAAACTCACGAAACATTACGGAAGAATATGAAAATCATGATAGAGATGTATAAACACAAAATACATAAAACACACAAGACACACAGAACACATGTGAAACACATACAAAACACATGTGAATGACATACAAAACACATGATAGCGATGAAGCACACACAGAACACATGCGAAACACATGACACACACGAAAAACATACCAACATACATACAAAACACATGAAACGCATGAAACACAAACCTACACACATGAAATTGAAACCTTCAATCATCTTCTATATAAACATAGGTTGAATATCAAACCATCACACAATATTCAAACCTTCAATAATCCTCTATATTCATAAATCTTCCAACTTTCAAAGTGTTTTTGTTTCCTAAAAATCATCAATATCTCATCAATGGGTGATAGAAGAAGGCGAGCTTGGCAATGCAGATGACACAATACCAAGCAAGCCGTGCAACTGCCGATGCATAAATGAACACAGAAGAAGCCGAATTTGCAAACTCACTTATTCAATATCAGCACCATGTCGAATCTAGCCATCGTGGTTCTATCACGGGACGTTCATTTGTGCAGCGTGATAGAGAATAGTGTCATGACTAGATCAAATTTATTGAGGTCCTCCATCATCAAATTTATGTCAAACCTCTCTTGCTCCTTATTGCCTAGTTGCGTCATAGCCACACGCATTCGGGCCGCTTCATCATCCCAAGAGCTATGACTTTCGATCAATCTTGCAAATCATGTAGGAATTTGTTCACTAATGGGATCTTGGGACTTCCTTATTCTTTTTGCTTCCTTTTGCTTATCTCTTCCCGGAGGCCTTGCAAAAGAAGAAGTTGGGGTCATTTGTTCGACACCTTCATTAACACCTTCATTAACACCTTCATTCACACCTTCATTGAAATCATTTGGGGGCAGGGCTTCAATATGAAATAATATTCCCCATTGTTGGTCCACATCGGTTCCCCACCTCGGACAATCCTTGAGGAAATTCCAAGCATGATGCAACTTAAAATCTTGATTTTTTGGTGTAGTTCTTGTCTTGTAAATTGCCATTACTTTGTCACCCTATGCATCAAATGCATAAAAACAATTAGTTGAAAAATACTATTACGTACATGACAAATAAAATATCAACAAAGAAACTCACAATTTATGAGAAGCTCCTTCCACTAGGCATGTCAATCGTGGCTCTCTCCAAGCTTCTCTTCCACAAAGTGCACGTTTTGTTGATAATCTTCCACCGATCATAAACACCACCACCTTCCCTTCAGCCGGCGTTGGAGTTTTCATGGAACTTATCAACGATTTTACCCCACAAAACCTTTTTATTTTGATTCGTGTCGACGGCACCATCTTCGCTAATGGAAACTCATGCCAAACATAAAACAATATCTTCCTCAAAGGTCCAATTACGACCTCTAACATGTTCGTTTGCCATCTTGAAATATTTGGAAATGAGAAGAAATGGTAGAAAGAAAAATTGGAAGAATTGTAGGAGAAAAGTGAGTTTTGTGTGGATATTTGAACAAATACATAGGTATTTATAGAGTTTTTGGGTGAATTTTGAGTTAAATAATTTTTTTAAATTATTGTAGCCGTTGGATTTAAATTTAGACCGTTAGATTTTTTTTTACTGTTAGATGTGATTATATTTGATCTAAGCCGTTAGATTCAATAAATATATACAACCCGTACTCTAATATTATTTGGTAACTTGCCATTCATGCCACCAACCAGGGGAAGAAGGAACTCATCCTCGTGCCACTAACCAGGTGATGAAATGTGATGAAAGGTGATGAAGGAACTCACATTCGTACCACTAACCAAGTGATGAAAGTAACTCACCATTCATTCCACCTACCAGAAGACGAGTGGTACAACTTGTACATGCGAACTCCTAGCATTCACAAATAATCAAAAACCCTCAAGCTTGACAACTCAACTAGGGGAGCACTTATGCCCAACATTATTAAATTCAAATGTAAACTACCTTGCAAATCATAATCAAGCCCCTTACTTGGAGACACAGGTCAAGAGATATAATCTAAAAAAAAAAAAATTGAATGTGGACCCTTGGATTAACCAACGGCCCATTTAAATTTGGCTGTTGAATCGAAAAAAGTAGCCGTTAAGCTACCGACTGGGACTAACAGGCGAGGGACACACCCACGTGGGTGGGATCCCCCTAGTAGCCATTAGGCTATTAACTGGGACTGACAGGTGGGGGACACGCCCACGTGGGTGGGGTCCCCCTAGGATTCCATCTGGCGCGTGCTGCGTGTTGGGCAAGTGGGTTAGGCGTCTGGGCTTCACAACCCGTGGTTCACTCGCCCCCAGTAGCGCCCACAATGATTTTTGGCCTAAAAATGGGCGGGTATTTGGCCCTCTTTTGAGTTTTAAGTTTTAGGTTTTGTTTAGCACTTGGGTTGGGTTGGGTTTTAGGGGAGAAAAAAAGAGAAATTTGGGTTTTAGCTCAGGGTTGGAGAGAGTCTAAGAAAAATCACTGGTAACTTCTATGGTTGGGGACAAACTTCGGACCTGAATTCTACACGGTACATCATAAGTTTGATTTTTGATACTATGAATCACACGATGGTTAAAAAAAAATTAAAATGCTTCTATAAATCTTTCCGTCCCTGAAACGATGGAATGCCGTGAAGAAGCGACGATCCTTTGATTCCTGTCTAAAAAAAGGAAAATCACGGGCGAAGAAAGCTTACCAGTATACCGCATCAGTGATAATTGATTTCATTTTCCACAAAGTGGGTGAATCCCTTTAAAGGTACTTGTACCTTTCAACCAATCAAAACTCAGCCTCTGCACTACTACAGTACTATTGCTAGTACCACTCTCTTTACCAGTTTCAGTTTCCATTTGCGTGTGATCGATCAAAGACACAGAGAGCTCTCAAACAACAAAAACACAAAGAGGAACGCAAGAACAAGAGCTGAAAAAAAAAAAAAAAAAAATCCAAGTTTGATTACGATGTCCAAAGCTTCTGATCAAGAAAACAGGATCAATATCAAGTGCCAGTACAACGAGGTAAGGTCAACATTTACAGAAGCAAATGTGTTTCAATCTTTGCTTTGATCACTTCATGTATTGGGTTATATATATCACCAAATACTTGTGTAGGATGGTCAAAGAACTTTCTTCAGGATGCGGCGTAATGCAAAGCTGCAAAAACTCGTCGATGTATTTTGTACCAAGCGTGACATCGATCCCAAAGCAGTAGATTTCATCTTTGATGGCCAGAGAGTGAACAAAAAGAAAACTCTTGAGCAGGTAAAGCTTCATAAAAGTTGCCCTATGTATGTTGTTTGTTTAGGTTAATTTTAATTTTTTTGTGAAATTGTAGTTGGTTTGGTATCTATGCGATTTTGAATGACAATTATGCAGGTGGAGATTAAAAAGGTGCTGGTAAGCATGAATCTCTTTAGATCAAACTTTCAATGGAATTTTAAAAGAAACTAATAGAAATGACTTGAGGACTTTGAGTTTTAAACAAAATAAATAATAAAGTGAATAGTACCAAGATCGATTTTTTAGTGTAAAAATGTGTTTTTTGTTAAAGTAAACAGTACCGTAAGTGTTAAAATTCCCAATTGTAAAATCTATTACCTTATATATTTTATGATTTGAATGCATGTCTCCGTTCTTAGTCGTTGCTTCACTTAATTTGTGCAGCATGGAATCGAAGATAACGATGAGATTGAAGTCTTTTTGCGCGTCGGTGGAGGTGCAGCGATGTTGGAAAGTTAGAAGTCGAGTCTACTTCTGTGGGAAGGAGAGTCGCGGTTTAAGTACGAAAAACTTTATGCTACAATTATGTGACTGACTAGTAAGTAATTACTTAATGACTCTTTGTAGACTAAACTTTAACTTTGTGGCGCATCATGATTAAATTTAGAGTCGACTTATTTCATCACAAAGCATTTTGTGTGGTTTTATCTGGTTTTAAGTGATTGATTAAAAACATGACCTCAGATTTTGAGGCAATGTAAGTTAGGCTTGGTTTGGTAGGTGATTCTGAAAAAAAACTGGTATAAAAAAATGCTGGGAGCTTTTTTTGTGTTTGGTAAATATTCAGCTTCAGCTTTTTTTTTCACAGTTTTGAGTGAAAAAAAAGCCAAAAACAAGAAGCTGCAAAACCTAGCTTTGAAAAACCGACTTTTTTTTCAAATCTTTTTTACATAAAAGTTTACAAACACTATAATACTGTTTTTTTTTTTTTAAAACATTTTTACAAAAAAGCTTACCATAGACTCTACAGCTTTATTTCACAGCCGCTTATTCTTACATCATAGCAAAAGCAGTTTTTTTTTCAAAGCAAAATAATATCAAACCAGCCCTTAGAAGGATGGATAACAACTACCTTTCATTAGGCAGTAAATGAGTTCACTTTCAGTGCCTCAAAATCTGAGATGAAGATTACAAAAGTTATAACAAACCATGATGAAAGTGACAATGTCATAAGTTAACCATAAACCAAAGAGAGATCAACATAACATACTACAATGAGATGCCAAAAGTACCACATTCGCACTACAACTTCAGTAGGATGTTGAGAGGATGAATCCTACATCGGGGTATTAAAGCCGTGCACGAGAGTTCAAAATGATTGTATACCCTCGACTCTTTGTCTGCTTACATTCTGCTACAAATGCATTAACATACACAAGTTTCTCCATGCTCGAAATGCAAACAACACCCTTCATTAAGTGAGGGCGAAAAACTTTAGAAGGACGAACAGAAACTGAGGGCGAACAAAATTGCCTTTGATTAAGTGAACAAAAAATCAATTCAGTTGTTTTTCTTGAAGACCTACCACAAATCTCAGTTTTGGAACCATAACAGAAACGAAAGGAGCCATTTGATAGTAAATTCTAGGGTTTTAACCTCTCCATCCAACACGTCTACTACAGTTGGGTGCCCTACACCACAGTGACTTCAATCTCAACTTCTTGAGCCATCATGCTCACCGGCATTTTCTCTACCGCTACAACAATAAAAGTGCGGTAGCTTGACACGACCACAACCCCTGTAACCAAATATTGTTATATGTCAAAATTAAGATTTTATTGCTATATGCTGGATTTCATTGCAAATATAGGCTAAAATCACAAGCAATTAAACTAGATACTGAGTTCACATCAGGAAACTAGGTTCCGGGTTTACTCAACAACAAGAGAAAAACATAAGAACACACAACTTCTCATATTTTTCTGACATAGAATGATATTATATCTTCTTTTAATAATTAAAAGTATAGCTGAAGCATTATGATACATCTCCAATAAAAACATCAACATCTAAATTTGTTCGTTTCATGCTTTTTCCGAATTCGCCAAATCATTTTCCATGCTGTTTGCAGGTAATACAATGGACACTATCTTGATAACCAAAAATTATTTCATCGACTCAACACATGGATTCTAAATAAAACACAAACTTCAATTGTCAAAGAAGTCACAGAAAGAATACCATAAACTTCCATTGTCAAAGTAGTCGACACGGTGTTTCTCTCCGATAATCCGCAACCAAATTATCAATAACAATTCAAACCTCCAGCTAACTATTCAACTATATTTCATTATAAAACAGAAGAAATATTTGCAGAAGTATTTTACTTCCACATCGAAGGAAAGGCTTACAAAAGTCACAAAGCACTTACCTGCATCGAACTATCACCGGAACAGGTTTCAGAGCCTTCGGGCCATTTCTTATGCCTCTCTTGTGGGGAGAAGTCTGCACGATATACATCCTTATATATCAAATCTCCAAATCTTCTAAACGTGCATTACAATAACACAATGACAACAAAAAAGCAAATGAAACATCAAAGTTATAGTATGTATGACATGCCGCCTTCGATTGTAAATCTTCAACAAGTGATGAAATGCACGAAAATGAAATGCATATATGAAAGATTACCACGATGAATCAGACAGCGGACGATTGCGTTCGAGAAAGATAATCACAGCAGGTAATAATAAAAAATAAATAAATAAATCCTCCATACCATGAATCCGAAAGTTGAAATCGAATTTCTACTGGTATAAGCGCTACATACTAATTACACAGAACAGGGCAATTCTACCATACACAGAACCCATACAAAGTCATCAGAGCAAATAATAACATGGAATTGAAAACCCATTAACCAATTTCAAATGAAATTCCACATGAAAACAAAAAGAATTCATTTTTAATCCAAAAATATGATCCAGTAAATAAATTCCAGAACCAAGAACCCTAAAACCCCAATCCCCAGATACATAGAAATACATATATATACCTTCCTCTTGGGGACAGCCATGAGCTCCATGGATCCACCGAACAAGAAACTCGGGAACCCGAACCCGATGTTGCTGTTCTTCTCTGGATCCCGATCGGACTCTGGCAGAACCAACGGTGGCGATGAAATGTTAGGTTGAAGCATAGCCCCACCCATCGGCGGAGGCATGGCAGCGATGTGGGCCCACCTCTTAGTGCCGAAGATGGAAGCGTTCCCTCTGCTGCTTCTTAGCATTGTCATCAAGGACGCCATTTCTGTATGTGTTCAGCTTCAGACGGGGCACCAGAGACTGAAGTGGAGACGGCGGCGTTGGTTTGTAAAGAATGAAAGCTTAAACTGCTTGAAACGTTGTCGTTGCAATGGTTATTAAAAGAGATTAGGCTTTTCTTTTCTTCTTTTTTTTCTTTTTGCTATTTCTGTTGGGGAGTTTTCAATTTTTTTTCTTCTTTGCTCTTAATTTTGCTTTTTTCTTTTGATTTAATCACAAATTTGCCTACTTTGGGCTTTGAGTTTTTTTAGTGTCAAATGGGGTTTTGCTTCCATGCTACGGAATTTTTTATTTAAAAAATAGTTATATACATTAAATTTCTGCACCAAATAACGTGAAACATTTTATACCATATAAATTTTCATTACAATTCTATTTACAGAAAGCGATGGAGAGGGTACTTGCTTAATGATGTTGTATTTTTGTTGATCCTAAAAACTACCTAGCCTACGTGGCGCACATGCCGAGTAATCTATGAGCTAACTACGTCCTTCGGTTGAATGCGGGGTGTGCCAACTCGTCGGCCGAGCTCGGCTGAGGAGTAAAATATGCTGATGTTGCGTTGGGTGCGCGGTCGACTTCTGCGTCTTGCGATTCTGACCGAGGAAGGAACACGTCTCGGCCTCTTGAGTTCTCGAACCTGAAGACAAGGCTACTATTCTTACGAAGTTCACAAATCGTCGTCGTCGGATTCGATCGCAGTGATAGTATTCGTCAGAGTAAACTCACGCCGAATCGACACCAAAGTGTAAGGCCACAAATACTCAAAGCGAATATAAGTCTTAACAGTAAACGTGGTTCGGCCGTTGGAACGCCGAACTCTAAATCCCACTTGTGAGTATCCAATCATAAAATAACTCGGCGTGCAATGTGCCGAGCCCAGTAAACTGTAACACCTCACTTCGCTTAGAAGGCTGATAAGATGACATCGACCAACAAGGATTCGGAAATCCTTCTCAATCGAGACTTGGATAGATAACCAGTCGCCCTCGACGCAGTGCTATTTATGCCAACTGAAGATGCTGCGAGGTCGGCTAATTCTACGGTAACAGTGTTATCTATGCCGACTGAAGATATCATCGGTTACCTTCGCAGTACTGTTTATCCAAACTGAAGATGTGTCGGCGAAAAGAGAAAAGGAAAAAATCTCAAGTTTGTTGAGATAATTTGCGCAGGGCAGTTGTGTGTTGAATTGAAGGGGGTTGTTTCGATGTCTTTCCTCTCTATTTATAACAGCCAGCCTGTATTGAATCCTAATCACTCTTGGATTAAAACTCCTTCTCATTATCCAATTTCATGTCGGCCAATCCTATTCTTACGAGGACTCCGAACATAACTCGTTATCAGACCGTATTCAATCTCAGCATCCTGATCCCGTCGAGACTCCCTCTCACAACAGGATTCGTCCACATTCCACTTTTCGATAGAATATGGCCAATTTCGACCGGGCAGCCTATGGGCTAAATATCTCCCATTGACACCTGTACACGAATTCTGGGCCGAGAGAGGATTTAAACCCGGCATATCCAACACTGGGCCGAGTTAGACAAGTTAACTTTAACTCGGCCTAAACAATATTTTAGGGTCCAAACAATTTTATAAGGGAGTTTTAATAAAACACTTCTAATATTGTTCACTTTTAATGAAAAACCACATTTTTACCTTTTCTATTCACTACACCTTTATTTATCATTTTTCATTAAAACTACAGTTTTTTTGGAATTTTCGTTAGTTTTCTGCATTCTGTTCTTCTATGTCAATAACAACCCGATAGAAGCAAAGATGCTTGACCCGCAAGAATGTCCCTTCTCGGTTTATGTCGATAAAGTATCTCGTGGAATCAATCAAGGGAAAACTACTACATGTTCGGAGATTGTTCAAATGTTAATGCAGGTTCTTGTGGCGAGAAGTGTTGGACTGTTGTATTCGTGGTTTACAAGTTGGTGTTCGATGAGAGGGATGGATCCGTTGCACAACATGTTGAGCTAAAAATAATTGGAGATAAGACTTTCTTCCTGGTTGATAGTTATTCTATTTATGTTACATGGATGGCAGGACAAAATTTGGATGAGGGCGATTATCTGATAGTGATATCAGGCCAAGCGATGTAGGTGTTTTCAATTTAGAGGATGAAACCATAACCAAGCATTACTCTCCAAGCGTTTCACCCGCTCTTTGCTTTATGCCCCGGTTTGATGGACGCTACTAGCTTCTTCTGGATTCATTAGTTCTTTCAAAGGCTGCCAAGATAACTCTTTGTTTTGCCTTTTTGTACTGTGCAATAGGGGTGGGTTCGGTTTAAATCGGTTCGGTTTTTTGCCAAAACCGAAACCAAACCGAAATTTCGGTTTGGTTCATTTTTTTTCGGTTTTTTTCGGTTCG